ATATTCATCCAGTCAAGGCAAATATTAGTTGTTTAATCTAGAAACGCTAAGGAAATACGTTGTTAAGGAGATATAACTTACTTGGATGAAGGATTCTTGAAAGAAATCTAGAAAAGTTGAGAGGAAAGCTTCACGCGCGAGCAAGGGAAGCTGAAGGAGAAAACTTGAGAAAATAACAAATGAGACCCAGAGGTCCCCTTTTATAGGTGGCTCACACCCCCACGAGGTTCATCATGAAAAGTCATCATTGAATTGGGCCTTTTGGACTCCCCTGAAGGGATGGCACCCCAAAGCAACAGCCACGTGGCCCAACAATCAACCACGTGTCTATTCTCAATAGACGAACACGTCCCCGACTTCAACACGTAATCCCCACGCGAGCATGAGACAAACACCTCACACGAGGGAATGCTCTACGCCATGGATGAGACATGTATATAGGCACGTTCATCACGATCTATCTCGAGGGAGAAATAATGCTCAACATCGTGACAACCCCTTGAAGGCAGACAAGTCGAAAGAGAACTCGCAGAAGATCCCCATAACTTATACGGTCCTCTCGGGAAAACAGCTGACCCCGTCGGTCTCACTGCTCGTTTGTCCACAAGATCCTCGACACATTCAAACAGATTGTCTCGTACGCAGGCAACAACTCGCTTTCTTTCAGAGGACTTCGACCATCCTTCCCGATCAAATCCTCTCCAGCTATAAAAACTGAACTTAAGTCATCACCCTTTCACCTAAGGGAAATAACTTAGGGAGATCCTGATCTGGACTGAGCCTGCACTTGTCCCCCGGTTGGGAGACCCAATCTGACACCCTTGTATAAGGCCCAAAAGCAAGCAACCCAAGTTAGGGACCGTTAGGCAACTCCTCACACATCCGTTGGGGAACATGGCCCACGTCCCCACACACTGTCATCTTAACTGCCCTCCGAAAATCACAGGTCAAACCCCTATTCTCACGGAGCAGTTGACCAGGGGAAAGTCCACTTGCTGGACTCCATACACACGTAATCTCTGACAGTCTCCATTATTGGGCCTCAACGTGGCCCAACAATGGAGACCTTGGCCTAGCGCTGGGGGCTATAAATACCCTCTCTTTCGAGAGGGTCACGTATTGAACATTTCTCACTCTCTTACTTGCAGGTATCCCCCACCTCACTCTCAAGTACTGCTCGAAGTAAGTTGTGACAGTCCATTCTGGTCATGTACGATCAATATATATATATATATATATATATATATATATATATATATATATATATATATATATATATATATATATATATATATATATATATATATATATATATATATATATATATATATATATATATATATATATATATATTGTTTTTTTAAAATATTTTGTCTTGTAATATATAAAAATATAAATTTTCGTTTTTTTTAATTATTATTAATATTTTTTATATTCTGTTTTATAAAATAAATAACATATATTTAATAAATATAAAATAAATTTATATAATATATACATAATTTCGTTTTAAATAAAATTCTAAAATATATTTCTATTTTATTTTTCATTTATAAAAATTATAATATTAATCTACTAACAACTTTTACAAAATAAATATCAAATTTAACCAAAATAATCAATCAATAATTCTGAAAAAATATCAATTTTTTTAAAAAAAATTACAAAAGTACCTCTCTTGAATCTCCTTTAATCTTCTTGTTTTATCTTTTTCAAATCTTTTTCAATCTTCTTCAATCTTCTTCTTATTAATTTCTTGAAAAAAAATTAACATAAATCAAAATCATATTACAGAATAAACATTAAACAAAAAATTTTAAAAAAAAATTTGAAACAAAATTAGAGAAGATGATTACCTTTGAAATTTTGAGGTGGAATAGAAATCAAATTTGGAGAAGATAGAGGTAGAAGGAAGAAGATGAAACAGAAAAGGAAGAAGGAATGAAAAAAGAAAGAGAAGATAGAGAAGATCTGTGAAACGGGAAAAAAATATAAACAGTCAGCGACGTGATAATCACGTCGCAATCACGTCGCAATCTTATCACGTGATTATCACGTAGCAACATCCCCAACGGTCATAAATAAATTGCACCCACTGCGCGCAGTCAACATCAAGCAGACAGGTTTTCCTCCTAAAAGGTTGCGACGTGAATTTCACGTCACAACTTGAAATTTGAAATTGTCAACCTTCCCACCATGTGCAGGTTATAACTTTCTGAATTTTATATTTAAATTGCGTGGGATTCACGTCGCAACGTTTTTTATAAAATATATTTTCTGACTCCTCATTTGTTAACGTTACTTTTTATATTTTGTTATTAAAATCATGTAACGACGTGATTATCACATCGCAACCTGCCACGTGATAATCACGTCACAACTTCACTTCGTTGGGGAGCATTTATCTTGTAGTGCAAGTGTCGGAAAAGTCAGACAAGTGTCCCAAAAAATGTTTTTTTCTTTGCTTCAACACATTTTGAATCAGTGTCTGATACCCATTTATCTTTGACGCATTTTCTTTGCTTCTCTTACAACACGTGCCCGAAAATTCAGACAAGTTTTTCTTTAAAAAATTGTATTTTTCTATTTCTCAACACACTTTACACTTTTCCTAGACAAATCCCACGCACAATTAAAAAGGTTAAACACTTATTGAAGCAATATTATCAATGAATAATTAAAGACATTAACTTTTATTAAAATATTTTTAAATCTTTTGATATTAGATGAATAAATGAAACTCAAATATTATTGACATATCGATGTCGGAGTGTCTGTGTCCGTGTCGTGTCGCGGTGTCCGTGTCAGAGTATGTGCTTCATAGCTTGGAATCCATTATTTTCATCCTCTTACCTCATTTGATGAAGTCACTGAAAAGAGAATCAAAAAGGTTATTAACATATATAAATTTCTAGAAGATGAACCAGTATTTGCAATAAAATAAAGATACTAAATTTTATTCATTGCTAAGTCTTACCTTAATGTTCAATCTACATTGTTTCTCCTGTCAAGGTATTTTCTTGCTTTGGTTCTTGGGATCGCATTCCAGCCTCCCACCAGAGGATAGTTTAGAAGATCTTAGAGATGATCAGAAGAATTATTAGTTATTTTATTGTCAGCATTTTCATTTTCCGCGTCCATTTGTATTGTTTGGCCAAAAAGAACAAACTGGTTCGACTTTGTATGATCCAGCACAAAACATTCTCACAGGTGTTCACCTTTTGCAGTGCCAGGTTATTAGTGAGCGTCGTCGATGCTGTGCTTAGATGGTTGTTGTAACCTAAAAAGTATGATAGCAGAAGATTATTCAAAGCAGAAACAAAGTTGAAAATGCAATTGCTATATTTGCTTTTAACTGAGTTCAAAAAGAGCATGTAATAAACATGTCTGCAGAAGTCTCTAAAGAAAGTCATACAACTAGACCAAATGCCCTCACATGAAGCCTGATGTGAAAAGTTATAATCGTGAATGTGTAAATTTGACAGTTCAGGAAAAAACTGAATTTAGACCTCTTATTTTAACCACATGCCATCATTACATGGGTAACTTCAAAAAAGGGGCATTCCGAGAATTGAACTCGGGACCTCTCGCACCCTAAGCGAGAATCATACCACTAGACCAAATGCCCTCACATGAAATCTGGTATGAAATGTTATTATTCTGAATGTGTAAATTGGACAGTTCAGACAAAAACTGAATTTAGACCTCTTATTTATACCACGCGTCATCATTACATTGGCAGCATTCACATTGTATTAACCTTTTACTATGTGAGAGTTGTATTGCATATTTTACATTTCCATTATTGAACACAAGTTCACTTCTGAAATTAAAAAAAGAAAACAGCTGATCCATCTAACATTGTCACGATATTATACAACAATCAAGTTTTATCTTATTAGGTAAAGTTGCCTACTTGAATCAAAAGTCGTCATAATGTTATAACTAATAACATAGATCACATCATATGTATAGCCAAAATGGTCCTAGATGCATTTCTTAATAATTGTCACCACCATCTAGCAATTATGTCACCACCATCCATACGTGTTCAAACCACCTAACTCAATACCTAACTATGTTATCTATAATAGATGCTAGTTTTCTACCCCAACTCTCTCTTTAATGCGATATTCCCTAATTCTATTTTGTTCTGTGTTTGCTTATAGATCTTTTTTGGCTTGTATTTTCACTAATCCAGTACAGTTTAGCATTCTCATGGTCCACGCTACTGCTACATTGAGAATTTTTGTGTTGACTTTTTACCATCCAATATTTCATGTCATACAACAATGCAATTTTTTCACATTACTATAAAAGAAATTATTAGTCAATTGTGATTGCAAAAGGAAGGGTTTGTCATGTTAGGACTTAAGTTCATGTATCACGGCATTCATCATAAGGCAGTCACATGCAGTCCCTGAAAACTATCCAGAGCTTCATCAAAAGGGGCATTCCCAAAAAAAATATATGTAGGTTATTCATATTGAAATAAACAATTAACAAAGGTTTATCATCAAAAGGGGCATTCCGAGAATCGAACTCGGGACCTCTTGCACCCAAAGCAAGAATCATACCACTAGACCAAATGCCCTTATATGAAAAGAATTTAGTATGTAAATAACTTAGTTGGAACAATTGTTTTAGGGGGAAAGTTGAATTCCATGCTTCTTATTCTCTCTCACCATCATAATTCATCACTAAACAAGTTGATGACAAGATTTATTTCTAATACCCATCTCCAATAGGATCTCATTATGTATTTTGATAAAGACTGAAGTAAAAAAAACATTGAAATCAACATTTCAAGGTGAGGATTTTGGTTGACAATGAAAGCATCTCATAACTTCATAGATGCCAAGCTAGACTGATAATTAAGCTCAACGTCAACAGTTCAAGAAACCATCAAGGTTAGAAGTTTAACTTTTTTATTTATTGTTGAAGATCTTGAAGCTGACAAGAAATTAATTGGTGGTATTACTGCTTTGTTGTGTGGAACGATGGACACTAAAGCAGTTGCCAAGGGGGACTTTGAGGAAATCAATATGCAGTTGCAAAATTTTTTGATTCAACAGAATTTTTCATGGCTCGATAGTTTGAGGGAGATCAGAGCTAATTTCAAGGAATTAGATCTGTTGATGGAAGTTGGAGAAACTGCGACAGAACCAACAGTGGCTGAATCGGCTACCTCATTCAAACTAGCAAATTCTTAATACCTATAATTGAGCTAGAGGAAGCCAAGTTTAAGGCAATAAAATTGTGGTAACATGATTTGACATCAATGTAACCACCAACTATTTTTTTGTCAGCTTCAAGGTCTTCAAAACCAAATAAAAAAGTTAATCATACCACTAGACCAAATGCCCTAATATGAAATTTTTTCTTATTGAATGTTGTGTGGAGTAACGGTTAGTAACTGTTGTGTAACTGCTTTGTAACTGCTTAGGTAGTTAGAATTATAAAATACAGGGTGAAAGGGAAAAGGGAGGGCATCCGGTATTTTGTATGTTGGTTGGGTTGGGTTGGGAGAGACTAGGCTCTCTAATTCCTAGAGGTTGGTTTATTTATCAATTGCTGGTTGTAAACAGTTTGTATTGTTTATCAATTCGATAACTGCCTTTCTGGAAGTTACATCCATAGGCTTTGTTCCTCTGTTCTAGAATTTCCATTCTTATTCCTTATTCACATGTTCATCATATCCCCAATATATATGATTGCATTACCGATTCTCTAATATATTGTCCTAAGTAAACAATCACAATACCAGTTTCTATCATAGTTTTACTCCATACATGTTCAAACCACCTAAGTCGATACTTAACCACATTACAATAGGTGTTAGTTTCCTACCCAAACTCTCTTTAATGCTACAATTCCTAATCCTATTTTATTTTTGTTTTTGGTTAGAGATCCTTTTCTCTTCTCGTATTTTCACTCCGCTAGAGCAGCATCCTCATGGACCTCATTCCTGCTAACCAGAGTATTTAGTTGTTGGCTTTTTACGTCCAACACTTTATTTCATATAACAACACAATTTTTTCACATTATTATAAAACAAAATTATTCGTCAATTGTGATTGCAAAAGGAATAGTTTGTCATGTTAGGACATAAGTTTGGCTACGAATACATTACTAGTTTACAGCAATAGGGAGTTAAATAATGAGCGAAAACATATTTAAATGGAAAATTAATAGAATTAAGTTGTCGAAAAAAACATCTTTATCGTTTACAATTCAGATTTTCTACATCAAACCTGGTTTTTTCAACTTCTTTCGATCTTCACATAGAATCTAACAGAATATTTCCAATGATACTTAACCTCAATTGGAAGCACCTCTCTTATGTATTAATCAAAATATTTCCTTCTTTTCTTGTAGCACCTGCATAATGACTTCTTTTAGCACAATACGAAAATGACTGTTACTCAAACTATAATATCCTGCATGTGTATGTTATCATCTATTTGGCTTCATAAAAAATGTTTTTAAAATATAGTAATAAAAAATTCATTCTGAAGTTCACATGAAAATTGGACTTACTCAGTATTTGTTTAATGAGAGTAGTAGACAATGGAGAATAACAAATATTTGAGTGTACACATCAGATTATATTTGATGTGGCAAAAAATAGAATACTTGGCATATTGATAGATTAGGTGTTATGCTGTAATAGTGCAATTCTGTTTTAATAAAATAGAAATAATAATAATAAAATAGAAATAGATAGATTCATGTACCAGAGAGCATTCATTTCAAGGCATTGTCACAAACATTAAAAAAAAAGAATCTGTAGCTTATTCATATTGAATTAAACAAAATTTCACAGCTTCAAAACAATAAAAAGGGGCATTCCGAGAATCGAACTCGGGACCTCTCGCACCCAAAGCGAGAATCATACCACTAGACCAAATGCCCTCATATGAAAAGTTTTAGTTTGTAAATAACTTAGTTGGAACAATTGTTTAAGGGGGGAAATTTGAAGTACATCCCTCTTATTTTCCCCATATGTCATCACTAAACAAGTGGATGACAAGATTTATTTCTGATATCCATATCCAATAGGATCTCATTATGTATTATGATCAAGACTTGAGCAAAAAAAAAACATTGAAATCAATCAGTTATCAACATCGAATACTATAGATCTTTCATGTCAGATAAATAAATGCAATATGCAAAGGAAGAGAAGTAGACCCGAGATTGTTTGTTGACCCCAACTAGTGTAAGTTCCGGGATTCTCTCCAGTGAACTTTTCACTGGAGGTGGAGCAGTGCATATCACCACCATTAAAATTCCAATTGCATTTGTTTTATTATATTTTCATTGGCTAATATTTCACATGAGAAACTTTACACGGGAGACAATCCACTCCCGTAAGTTCTAGTTATGACTTATGAGGGATTACTAACTTTGATTGAGGATTATATTCTTAATCAGTGTATTTAGAAAAATAATTAATAGAAGAGACCAACTTCTTAAATGATCTCATACTTATGAAGTTATAGACAAGGATACTTTGGTTTATGCCACACAAAATAAAAAAGTATGAAAGAGAGTCTACACATAACATTTATGACATGATGACTCAGGTATTAATTTTGGATTTATCTTTAAAGATAGAGTTTTATAAACTATTGCAATAGACTTCTATAACAACCACGGCATTCACATGCAGTCTCTCTAATGTTATTTGTTATTTAACAACTAGTACTACACAGACACACCAGTAAGTCTAACTTGACAGCTTCCAGATCTTAAAAAATAAAAACTGATGCATATCAGTATTTAACTAAATTATTGAAAAACCAAACTCCTAACCTTCAAAAAGGGGAATTCCGAGAATCAAACTCGGACCTCTCGCACCCAAAGCGAGAATCATACCACTAGACCAAAAATGACATTTGTACAATCCCATCTGTGGGTCTCAACATTGTATACATTTAGGAAGTGGATTCATCTGTATTTACAGTGCCCTACGCCAAAAATGACATTTGTACAATCCCACTTGCAAGATGTAACCACAAAATAGAGCAGAATATTCAAATATATAGAAACAATTGGAAGAAACATTTCAACAAACAGTTAAAGGGCATTCATGGAAAGGACATGTATTTATTCAATTAAAAGCCAAACGCTTTGAATAAACATGAAATGGCGAAGTTAACTGTGAGGCAATGGAATTGAAGAAGATGAAGAACCTGATGTGATGTGATGTAATGTTCAAATTCAAAGTTCCGCTGCAATGCATGAGTCCGTGTTGATAAGAGACGGAAGAAGCAAGATAGGGTTCAGTCTTTTAGTGAACAATAGAAAATACGTGGAGGATATAATGCCAAATGCAATTTAAGTGCTTTCGGTGTTACCTTTATAAAAATACATTTAAAAATTATTTTTTTGTTTTTAAGTGGAAATTTCTTATGAAGCCTAATAGTCCTGATATATGACATCAATAATCAATTTATAGCGTTAGTAGAAACGGGGCTTATTTGTTATGATTCTTGAGAAGAATCTGATTCTGAAAAAGAAAATAAACCTAATATTTTTCATTTTCATTTATTTCTGTTGGTTTTGTGCCTAAGGGAAACCTCCTTCTAAATCCAAGGCAAAATTAATAGTTAAATCATGTCGTTTTAATTCTTGCAAATATGATTATTTATGCTCCTAAATTCAAAGTTGTTAAGAACTCTGGGAACACTAACAAGAAAGGACCTAAAAATTTGTGGGTACCTAAGAAGAAGATAAATTATGTTGCAGATATCTTTAGCAACAAAGTTAACACATTAATCATAGTACCAGAACTCTGACTGCTCGCGGCATATGATGGGAAAATAGGCATATGTTCCAAAGCTTGGGACTTAAGCCTGAAGGCGTTGTAGGTTGCAGAGGTGATCAGAAAGGGAAGATCATAGGCTCCGAAATAATTGGTAATAGTTATCTCCCTTCTATTACTAATGTTTTGCTTGTTGATGGATTAATGCATAATTTATTATCCATAAGTCAGAAAGGTGGCTCTATTCTTTTCAATGGCGAGAGGAAGAACAACATCTATAAGATTCGACTTGAAGGTAGAGAAAAACACAAGAAGGGGGGTTGAATTTGGTTTTTAAAATCTTTTGCAAAACTATTTTAGCTACTCAGAACACAATTGAATAATAAGTACAATAAAAGCTAAAAAGAACACTGTTATTTTTATACAAGTTCACCTTAAGAATAAGGTTACTTCTTGTCCACCCGCCAAGATGATTTCGCCTTTGAAAATGACTTAATTTACTAATCTTGAAAGATTACAAATAACCTCTAAGAGTCAGAAAGACACCTTATCCCTCTCAAGTATACAGGCAAGAAAGTCACTTGAGGAAAACAACTGTTTGAAAATTACAATGAAAATTTTATAGCTTGAGTCTTTGATAAGCATGATAAACACAAATTAAAACAATATATGAACACTAAAATATGAATTTTGTTATTGAACTTTGTGCATTTGTTTCTTTTCTATTTTTCTTGATAATTTTCGTAATTTGGAGCGATGATGATGTGCTCTTTATATAGGCCTTCGAAAAAGGAGTCTGTTGGAGCAAATAAGGAAGGAACAATAAATTGGTGTAATGATGTTCCTTTTTTGTCTCTCTATTTAAAGAAGAATTTGTGCCTTTAATGATAGTAATGATTGCATAGAAGAACGCATTGAATTCTTGGTCTAATTTTTTCTGTAGAGTCTTTAATGCTTCTGATAGTTTGATGTTGTTTGGAGTTAGCGGTTTAAGAGGTAGACTCTCGTTGCCTTTTATCAGAACGTAAATTCCTTCAGAAATAGAAGTAAGGTTTAAGATAAGACTTATTAAGTTGTCCTTTCTTCATAAGCATAAGTAAAACTTCTTATACGAGTTACACGATGTCCTTTCTTTCTGAAACTTTACACACGTGTTTTGGCTCTTTTCTCAAAAACGCTTCTGAGAACGTCTTTCAGCGTTGATCAAATATAATCAATTTCTTACATATCATAAACTTGGATTACATATAATTTCATATAATATATTTTTGTTATTGTTGTACCCCAAAATTTACCCTCTCGTTTCTTCAAGACACTCTCCTAGGGTTCTCAAATGCTCAAGGTGGCCTAAGAATTATCAGACAAAACTCTCCTCCTAAGCAATGGATCCATAACTAGGGTTTCATCTTTCACAAGGAAATTTGGGTTCCTAAGGTATAAAAT